AGGAGGCACTGGAGTGGCAATTTATTATCCAGGAGGTATTTCTTCACACTAAGGCAAAACACTTCATTGAACCATTCCAGGAAAATTTCCCTCATGACCCATTCCTTACTGCTCCTTCCACATCACACACAAATTTACTCTTGATGACATGATTTTTCTTGAACACACTGGGATTTTCAGAGTGATACACCAGTAAAAGCTTCACTTTGAAATCCCCACTAGCATTACCACAGAACAAGAGAGTTAGCCTGTCTTTCATAGGTGTGTGTCCTGGCAGTGCCTTTTCCTCCTGCGTGATGTAGGTCCACATTGACATTTTCTTCCAAAAGAGGCCCGTTTCATCACAATTGAACATTTGTTGGGGGACAAATTTTTTTAGCCTCTACATAGTCTTTGAATTCCTGTACGAATTTTTCAGCTGCATGTTTGTCTGAACTTGCAGCTTCACCATGTCTTACAACACTGTGTATGCCACTTCACCTCTTGAATTTTTTGAACCAGCCTTTGCTGGCTTTAAATTCACTAACATTAGCACTGGTTCCAGGCATTTTCTTTATGAGATCATCATGCAACTGCCTTGCCTTTTCACAAATTATTGACTGCACTATACTATCTAACATTAGCTGTTTTTCGTTGATCCACACCAACAACAATTTCTCCACATCTTCAATGGTCTGTGATCTCTGTTTCGTTATCACATTTACCCCTTTCGCAACACCAGCTTCCTTGATTTCTTTTTTATTCGCCACAATGGAACTGATGGTTGATGGGGGCTTCCCATACATCCTGGGGAGGTCGGCCACACGTACGCCACTAATGTATTTTTCAATGATTTCTTTAATTCTGCAGTGTTCCTCACTTTCTTTACCAAAGGACTGGCAATAGGAGCTTTCTTTGGGCCCATGGTGGCTTATTTAGCAGTTAAACACAATAAACAAGTGCCAAAAACAATGGATTATTAAGAAATGTTTCGTATGACCTCGCAGGATAATGTTCACTCACCAACCAACAACACAACACTGCCTCAGAATGTGTGTGGGGGAGGCTTTGTGCGCACACAGGGCACTCAGACACATACCAGACCAACAACGAAAACCGAGGAAAGCAACAAAAATGGAGGTAATATTTTGATGAAAACAGTCGGCGAAAACTGAAATCGACGAAAACAGAGATCAATGAAAACAGAGGGTCCACTGTATGTGGTCTTGAAGATTGCTTGATGCTAAGATACAACACTAACCCCTTTACAATAAACTTCTTTTGTACATCTTCCATTTTCCTCTTCCAAGTGCTGCTGCACTTCTAACTATCTTGTATTATGGGGTGCACAATAAAGTATAAATTTGTACAAATATTTTAGATAAAGGTAGGGAAGTTTTTATTGCATTTATGGATTTAGAAAAGGCATATGATTAGAATGTGGGGCAAGAAGTTTGTGGTTATAGGAGGGTGGGGGCAGGAGGAAAGAGGAGTGATTGGTGGAATGATGAAGTAAAGGGTGTGATAAAAGAGAAAAAGGTAGCTTACGAGAGGTTTTTACAAAGCAGAAGTGTTATAAGAAGAGCAGAGTATATGGAGAGTAAAAGAAAGGTGAAGAGAGTGGTGAGAGAGTGCAAAAGGAGAGCAGATGAAAGAGTGGGAGAGGCACTGTCAAGAAATTTTAATGAAAATAAGAAAAAATTTTGGAGTGAGTTAAACAAGTTAAGAAAGCCTAGGGAAAGTATGGATTTGTCAGTTAAAAACATAGTAGGGGAGTTAGTAGATGGGAGAGGGAGGTATTAGGTAGATGGCGAGAATATTTTGAGGAACTTTTAAATGTTAAGGAAGAAAGGGAGGCGGTAATTTCATGCACTGGCCAGGGAGGTATACCATCTTTTAGGAGTGAAGAAGAGCAGAATGTAAGTGTGGTGGAGGTACGTGAGGCATTACGTAGAATGAAAGGGGGTAAAGCAGCTGGAACTGATGGGATCATGACAGAAATGTTAAAAGCAGGGGGGGATATAGTGTTGGAGTGGTTGGTACTTTTGTTTAATAAATGTATGAAAGAGGGGAAGGTACCTAGGGATTGGCAGAGAGCATGTATAGTCCCTTTATATAAAGGGAAAGGGGACAAAAGAGATTGTAAAAATTATAGAGGAATAAGTTTACTGAGTATACCAGGAAAAGTATACAGTAGGGTTATAATTGAAAGAATTAGAGGTAAGACAGAATGTAGAATTGCGGACGAGCAAGGAGGCTTCAGAGTGGGTAGGGGATGTGTAGATCAAGTGTTTACATTGAAGCATATATGTGAACAGTATTTAGATAAAGGTAGGGAAGTTTTTATTGCATTTATGGATTTAGAAAAGGCATATGATAGAGTGGATAGAGGAGCAATGTGGCAGATGTTGCAAGTTTATGGAATAGGTGGTAAGTTACTAAATGCTGTAAAGAGCTTTTATGAGGATAGTGAGGCTCAGGTTAGGGTGTGTAGAAGAGAGGGAGAATACTTCCCGGTAAAAAGTAAGTCTTAGACAGGGATATGTAATGTCACCATGGTTGTTTTAATATATTTATAGATGGGGTTGTAAAAGAAGTAAATGCTAGGGTGTTCGGGAGAGGGGTGGGATTAAATTATGGGGAATCAAATTCAAAATGGGAATTGACACAGTTACTTTTTGCTGATGATACTGTGCTTATGGGAGATTCTAAAGAAAAATTGCGAAGGTTAGTGGATGAGATTGAGAATGTGTGTAAAGGTAGAAAGTTGAAAGTGAACATAGAAAAGAGTAAGGTGATGAGGGTATCAAATGATTTAGATAAAGAAAAATTGGATATCAAATTGGGAGGAGGAGTATGAAGAAGTGAATGTTTTCAGATACTTGGGAGTTGACGTGTCGGCGGATGGATTTATGAAGGATGAGGTTAATCATAGAATTGATGAGGGAAAAAAGGTGAGTGGTGCGTTGAGGTATATGTGGAGTCAAAAAACGTTATCTATGGAGGCAAAGAAGGAATGTATGAAAGTATAGTAGTACCAACACTCTTATATGGATGTGAAGCTTGGGTGGTAAATGCAGCAGCGAGGAGACGGTGGAGGCAGTGGAGATGTCCTGTCTAAGGGCAATGTGTGGTGTAAATATTATGCAGAAAATTCGGAGTGTGGAAATTAGGAGAAGGTGTGGAGTTAATAAAAGCATTAGTCAGAGGGCAGAAGAGGGGTTGTTGAGGTGGTTTGGTCATTTAGAGAGAATGGATCAAAGTAGAATGACATGGAAAGCATTATAAATCTATAGGGGAAGGAAAGAGGGGTAGGGGTCGTCCTCGAAAGGGTTGGAAAGAGGGGGTAAAGGAGGTTTGTGGGTGAGGGGCTTGGACTTCCAGCAAGCGTGCGTGAGCGTGTTAGATAGGAGTGAATGGAGACGAATGGTACTTGGGACCTGACGATCTGTTGGAGAGTGAGCAGGATAATATTTAGTGAAGGGATTCAGGGAAAAAAAAGTTATTTTAAATAGTCGACTTGAGGTCCTGAAGAAATGGGAAAGTACAATGCCTGCCACTTTAAAGGAGGGGTTTGGGGATATTGGCAGTTTGGAGGATAGTTGTGTGTCTTTATCGGAATGTACTTCTAAGGGACTGTTGTATTCTGAAGCACCTCTTGCAAAAACAGTGGGATTATGCGGAGTGTGGTGAAAGTGTTGAATGTGGATGAAGATTTTCTTTTTGGGATTTTCTTTCTTTTTTGGTCACCCTGCCTTGGTGGGCGGAGGTCGCCGAATTGTTGAAAAAATAAAAAGTTTAGTGGGAAGGACGTTGGATTTCCAGCTAGTCGTACTGAGTGCGCTGTAGAAGGAGGATGAGACAACTGTACTTGGACCGCGATTTTGGCAGTGGAGCAGGTATTTATACGGTTCGATACGTATATTCTTCAAACGTCGTCATGAGATCCATGCATAACTCGATACATGTGCTAAAGAGATGTTGGTGAATATTGCTTGAGAGGATTCTGTTACTTTATATGTGTACTCTAGACTGGTTGATTGACCCTACTTGAAAAAAGTGTATGTGCAGACTGACTGAAAGCTGTTGAATGACTTAGAAAGCTTGGGTACATCTGTACCTGCCTCGTGAGACACCAGACTTGTTGAAACAAAAAAACAAATTCAGAAGCCTGGTTTACTTTTCAAGTACTTGTCTGAAACGAGTAAATGCTGCTTTAAATGAGGAGGTTTGTATTACATAAAACTTTTGACCCCTACTTACGTAATAAACTGTGAACTGAACACCTCTGCTACTGAAAACAGATAGCGGTGACCCTTGGTAGAAAGTAGAGATGAAACATATTTTTTAAGGCTGAGATCTTCCTTTCTTACTAAAGCTGAGGAGACACCGACTTAATAAAATTGGTTGAGCACATACTACGTAGAAAACTGTATGAACTTACCGCTACCATTCTCATGACCCGTTCCCCCTACAAACAATCGCATGAGACCATCTATATATTACACAGTATTGTAAGACAGCTGACTTACAGACTGTCCCCTTAAAAATGTTGAGACCAACTACCAAACATCTATACTAGAAGCTGTTTTACATCTCTCAAGATAATGCTGACGTTTATGACTACATTTGATATAAACTTGATACTCAGATTCTTACTTGATGAAGCCAGCTTACAAAAATCATGTGTAGCTCCTATTATAAATACCAAAGAACATCTTCACTGACTTAAAAAGCACTGGATGAAATTAAAATAGCAAAATTTCACTGACTAAAGAGTAGTTATAAGCAGCAAAACATGTACATAAATAGTTTCTGAGCAAGGCAGTATACATTAAACTTACAAGTATATTAGTACATTCATGGGAGAGCACTAAGCCCATAAGGGTCACACAGTGCCTAGGGGAACGAGAGGCATTCAGGTTTGGTCCAAGGAAGAAGAATACAGATCTAATTCCTTAGATCAAGAGCCCCTCACCATGTCAAGGAACCTCCCTTGAGAGGGAAGGGGGTAAACTTACAAATGAATATGCTTTGGCCAATTTCTTGAAGATCTCATCATCTGGACATTTGCTATATACACCATTCTGACCAAAAGGATTATCATCCCATGGGTAGTTAGCAACAAGGGAGCCACCATGCAGGTTAGCAGACAGGACAAATGGATGCTGCTTCACCCACCTCATAACAGCTAGAGTTTCTGGTTGTCTTTCAACACCCTGAAGAAAAATACAGTACATTTTAGAAAATTATCCAAAAAAAAGTGTTAAACTAACCTGAAGAAATATTATTTTTACTAGAATGGTGTGCAAATTATTTTTAAATAATCAAGCTTTTACATTTCATTTTTATTAGTTAAGAGGAAAACAACAGACTGTAAAATTAAAATCTTACATTATAAATTCATTATTATTTCTTAGAACAGCAGGTCCCTCACTTCCAATGGCAATGAGTTCCTCAAAACTGTTCCAAGCTGACTGTATGGAATTCATAACTTATTCTGCCGAAAGACACCCACATACCACGGGCGGGGATAGAACCCGCGATCAGAGAGTCTCAAAACTCCAGACCGTCGCGTTAGCAATCGTGTCATTACGATTTTGTGAGTCATGTCGACACCCACATAATAATCAGATGTATTTCTGAGACATAATATTTCGTATCTAATTTCATCTCCATAGAGAAGTGGAGAAAAATTCTTCGTCCACAAGTCATGCGTGTCGTAAGTGGTGACTCAAATGCCAGAAGCACGGGGCTATTAACCCCTTCTCCTGTATAAATCATTAAATGTAAAAAGAAGAAAAACTTTTGTTTCCTCTTCAATTTCACGAAGGTAACTGGTGCATTTTGTGAGAATTCAGTGTCTAAGTATCTGGGAGCAAATGTGCTGGCAGATGGGTCTATGAAAGATGAGGCGAACAATAAAATGGATGAAGGGGGAAAAAAAGGTAGATGGAGCATTGACGCATCTGTGGAAAGATAGGTATCAGCAGTGTCTCCATCTTTTTTTTTTACATGTCATGTCTGAGAGTAATGAATAGTGAGAATATTACACAAAGAACTATTAACATACTAATTAGATGATGGTGTGGGGTCACCAAACGTATAATTCAGAGTAAGAGTTGCTAAGGTGGTTTGGGTATTTGCAGAGGTGAGAGCAGAATAGGATGACCATTATAGTGTATAAATTCAGGATGGAAATTAGGAGGTAGGAGTCATCCCAGAGATGGCTGGAGGAAAGGTTGTGAAGGAAGTTTTAAATGGTAGGGGTGTGAGTATCCAGCAAGTATGGATGAGCATGTTAGATCAAAGTAGAAACAAGTGGTTTTAAGGATTTGACATCCTGTCTGAGTGTGAGTAAGGTAATATTAACCACTTTAACCCTTTGACTGTTTACGCCGTATAAATACGTCTTACGCGCCACTGTTTCTGACGTATATATACTCAATAATTCTAGCGGCTTCAAATCAAGCAGAAGAAAGCTGGTAGGCCCACATGTGAGAGAATGGGTCTGTGTGGTCAGCGTGCACCACATAAAAAAAATCCTGCAACACACAGTGCGTAATGAGAAAAAAAAAACTCTGATCGTTTTTTTGGATTAAAACGCCGACTTTGAGGTGTATTTTCGTATAGTATTTATCGATGTATTTGCGTTTTCATGGTCTTAGGTGATAAAATGGAAAACATATTACAAAAACAGAGATGATTTTCATTACTTTGACGATGAAAATGACCTTGAAACTGAGCTCAAAGTAGTGGAAATGTTCGATTTTTACCAATGTTCAGGAGTAAACAAATCACACCACACGTCCAATACATGTCAACTGGGGAGTCTAATATTCTTTCACTAGTGCACTGATATTATTTATACCATTTTTACAGTAATGCAGTAGTCTGCATAACAGTAAATTTTGTATTTTTTTGTATGAATAAAAAATCAAAATAGAAAGCAATAATAATATAAGAGAGGCCCCGAGATGTGACTAATGAACAAAGGATATGTTATTTTAGTGCCAAGAATGTCTACCTTGTTTATTCTGGACCCTATTTTGAAATTGGCATCTTTTTTAGTTTGCGTGAAATTGGCCAAATTGCCAATTTCTGACCACCATATTGGGTAGTCCAAATTGGTAAATGGGAGGTTTCTTGTACTCAGCTGATAGATAAAATGGAGTTCTAAAGAAATAGCTATGAGTTTGGTCAACTGGAACAACGGAATTGGCTGAAAATAAGGCTCAAAGTCGGCGAAATCGCCGAAACGCATATGTCGCCGAGACTGCTAACTTCGCGGGAGCGTAATTACATGAGTTTTCGACCAAATTTCGAACTTTTGGTGTCATTACCATCGGGAAAAGATTCTCTATCATTTCATAAGAAAAAATAATTTTTTTTTTTTTTTTTCAAAAATTTATCGACACAGAATGACAGTTTCAGAAAGGGGCCTGAAACAGTCAAAGGGTTAAGGTCCGTGCCATAATACTAGGGGTTTGAGCACAGGGTCTGTGCCGTAGTACTACATGATGAGCTCAACTCACTCAGATAAGCAGTGAGTGGTAAATTTGGGCCTAGATATGAGAGAATGGGTCTCTGTGGTAAGTGTGCACCATATAAAAAAAATCCTGCCCAAGGCAGTGCATGATGAAAAAAAAAAAACTGACCATATACAAGTATTTGCTTTAAAACAGCAAATTTGTGGTGTATTTTCAGATGGTTTTTATGGTTTATTCTCAATTTCTTGGTATCATTTGACAGAATGGGTGACATATTACAGAAATAAAGATGATTTTGATTGATTTCAAGACAAAGTAGTTTGAAATTGAGCACAAGTAATGGAAATGTTTGATTTTTGCTGATATTCCAGAGGACACAAACTACATCACTCTTCCAATACACATCCAACTGGTCAGTCTAATATGCATTCACAAATGAGCCAACACTATTTTTACAATTATTACAAAAATGCAGAAGTCTGTATACCAGTAAATCTTTTACCTCTTGTGTGAATAAAAATTCAAAATAGAAAGCAAGTGTAATATAGGAGAGGCCTGGGCACATAGCTAATCACTTTAATGGGTAGCTGAAAGAGACAAATGGGAGGTTTCTTGTACTCAATAGTATGGAAAGAGTATTAGCAAAATAGCTACAAGTTTGGTTGACTGGAACACTGGAAATGGTTTAAAATAGGACTCAAAGTAGGCGAAATCGCTGATGCGCAAATATCGTAGAGAGCGATTACTCTGCGAGAGTGCAATTCAGGAAGTTTTCTATCAAATCTCATATTTTTGGTTTCATTACCTTTGGAAAAAGATTATCATTTCACAAGAATTTTTTTTTTTTTTTTTTTGAAATCCTTAAATCCTGAGAACAATTCTTAGATCAGGGGTCTGGACCTTCATTCAGGGTAAAATGGTCAGCTAGACTTGAGTCTGAGAGAGGAAAAGTATAGTGCCTGCTCTCTGAAGGAAGGGGGTGGGGGATGGATGTTGCAGTTCAAAGGCTCAATTGATTTTTTGACTTGTGATGTCTGTGCACTTTTGACAAGACAGCTACTGAATGAATGATGGTGAATGTTTTCATTTTCTGGGTCACCTGACCTTAGTAAGAAATGGCTGGTGTAGTTAAAAAATTACCTTAGATAAAAAGAACTGATCAGGAAAGTTGCGGTTAAGGTCAACCTGGTTTGCATTGCTTCTACCTGTAGATCCACCAAAGTCTCCTGCAGGAAGAAAGAACAAAATTAATAAGTTATGCTTCTACACAAATAAAAATAATAATTGAAAAAACTGAAGGGACAAGCACAATCAATATTAATTATATATCTAATTTATTTTTAACATAAAGGCTCCATGAAATTGCTTGGTCACTCCTGGAGCTCCATTTGTTTCCCAAGAATTTTAGCCACGTCATTGTTAAAGACTTCTGAAACAGTCCTTGAAATGGCTAATAAATTCTAATTGCTAAAATATTTAGTATTTTGTTTATACAAGGATAAATTTCCAGGGAGATTATTATTATAATCAAAAAGAAGCGCTAAGCCACAAGGGCTATACAGCAGAGAGCTGTCATTCTATTTTGCCTTATTTCAAAACAAAATCCTATCCAAGGTATACTACCACCTCTCAGGATGCGACCTGCAACAATCAACAAACACCCAGGTCCCTTTTTACTGCTATTTACGTAGAAGTGGCAATTGTAAGATCTACCTTTACACCTCGCCTTGTGAGGCAGAGCTATTTTCATAGTAGCACACCTAACCCTTTCACTTCTGGAAGCCCCGAAATTAAAAGCGCTGACAATGTCAGATGCTAGAGAATCTTCTTCTGAAGGAAATAACACCAAAAATACAAAATTTATGGAAAACTTACAGAATTACACAGTTGCAAAGTTCGGGGTCTGGGTGCAATTTAAGCATCAGCTGCTTTTCCCACTTTGAGTCATATTTTAAGCCAATTCCATTGCTTAATTCAATCAAATTCTGAATTATTTCACTAATACACTGTCTGTTCTACTGAGCACAAGAAACTGTCCATTCAACTACCAGAAGTACCCTATAAACTGCAAAGACTTCAGTAATTTGGCCAAATTTACACAAATTTAAAATTTCAGTTTAACCCTTTGACTGTCGCAAGCCCCTTTCTGAAACTGTCATTCTATGTTGCAAAATTTTTGGGAAAAAAAAAAAATTGGGGGCGACATATACGCATCGGCGATTTTGCTGACTTGGAGCCCTGTTTTTGGCCAATTCCGTTGTTCCAGTTGACCAAACTCATAGCTATTTCTTTAGAACTCCATTTTTTCTATCAGTTGAGTAAAAGAAATCGCCCATTTACCGATTTGAACTACCCAATAAAGTGGTCAGAAATTAGCAATTTGGCCAATTTCACACAAATTAAAAAAGATGCCAATTTCAAAATAGGGTCCAGAATAAACAATGTAGACATTCTTGGCACTAAAATAACATATCCTCTGTTCATTAGTCACGTCTCTTATATTACTATTGCTTTCTATTTTTATTTTTTATTCATACAAAAAATACAAAATTTACTGTTATGCAGACTAATGCATTAGTGTAAAAATGATATAAATACATAATATCAGTGCACTAGTGAAAAAATATAGACTCTCCAGTTGACGTGTATCGGATGTGTGGTGTGATTTGCCGACTCCTGAACATTGGTAAAAATCGAACATTTCCGCTACTTTGAGCTCAATTTCAAGGTCATTTTCATCGTGAAACTAATCAAAATCATCTCTATTTCTGTAATGTGTTTTCCATTTTATCATGTGAGACCATGAAAACGAGAATACAACGATAAATACTATACGAAAATACACCTCAAAGTCGGCGTTTTAATCCAAAAAAATGGTCGATTTTTTTTTCCTCAATATGCACTGCGTGCTGCAGGATTTTTTTTATGTGGTGCACACTGACCACACAGACCCATTCTCTCACATGTGGGCCTACCAGTTTTCTCCTGCTTGATTTGAAGCTGCTAGAACTTACGCGTATTAATACGTCCGAAACAGTAGCGCGTAAGACGTATATATATGACCAAAACAGTCAGAGAGATAAAAAGAGAGTCCAAAATAAACACTGTAAGCATTCCAGCCACTAAAGCAACATTTCCTTCGTTCATTAATCACATCCCCAGGCTATCCATTTGAATTCAACACACCAAAAACAAAGTTTTACCCTATTTCTTAGATAATTAAATAGTCTCAGGAATGACTGGTCATGGTTGACAGCATCCCAACAACTGAAGCAGATCTAGTAAGAACCCATGAAACAAACCAAAGGAAAAGGTGGGATAGTGGGGCCTCACCCATCTTCAGGAAAATCGTCAAAAATTAAATATTTCAGCTACTTCTGAAATATTTGATTTCTAATTCACTAGTGTGTCTTCCATTCTGTCAATTAATACCACCATCACAGAAAACACCCCAAAGTTGCTATATTAAATCAACCACAAGGTCAGAGGTCTGCTTTTCCCATCATGCACCAAGTGGGGCAGGAAATCATCATATCATGCATTTGCCACACAGACCCATTCTCTTCAGTCTATGCCAAAATATACCACTTACAGCATATATGAGGGCACTAAATTTACATGAAACAGAACTAAAAACACGATAAATCTGTGTGGAACAGCACAGGAAACATACTAAAGTTATGTGAAACAGCGCTAAAAAAACACACTAACATTATTAGTTACAAAAAAAAACACATTATGCATTGATCTCACTCTCCAGTACTCAGAAGATTATTCCAGATCTGCTAAATCCCAATCAATCATCTCTTTCTCATTGTGTGTAGCTGTTTCTTGTCATGACTGGCCCTGTTCTTGTCCTACTCACTGCCTCAATTCATGCAAGTGGGTGTGTCTATGGCTAAGACTGAATATTGATTTGAGATGGCTTTTTCATGTGATTTAAAAATATGTATTTCATATATGATTATGCTTTTAAGTTTATTGATTTTAATATTTAACATGTTGAAGATTTACTGTTATGCAGGTAACTAATGAATATTGTAATAGCAATTATATAAATCACGTTAGTGCAGTAGTGAACACGTATTAGATCTCCCAGTTGGGCACGTACTAGACAAATCGAGAAGAGCGATGTGATTAATCCTTTGACGGTCCATCCCATAGTTCTACGGCTTTGAAGCCAGGGTCCAAGCCGTAGAACTATGGCTTGAGCTCAGCTCACAAATAAGCTATGAGTGGTAAATTTGGGCCTAGTATGCAGAGAATACATCTGTGTGGTAAGTGTGCACCACATAAAACAAATACTGCAGCACACAGTGCATAATGAGGAAAAAACTGCAATCGTAATTTTGAATTAAAATAGCGACTTTGCAGTGCTTTCCATATGTTTTTTACAGGTACATTCATGATTTCTTGGTCTCATTTGATAGAATGGAAGATATTTTACAGAAATAAAGATGATTTTGATTGGTTTTAGCACTGAAAATGGTTTGAAACTGAGCTCACAGTAGCAGAAATGTTCAATTTTTGCTGATGTTCAAGAGTAAACAAATGCATCATGCGTCTAATACACCACAGCTGGTGGATCTAATATACATTTACATATGTGCTGATATTATTTATACAATTATTATAATATTGCATGACAGTAAATCTTCTATTTTTTGGTGTGAATAAAAATTCATTATAAGAATAAAAAATCAAAATGGAATTCATTTGTAAAGCCTGAAAATGTAACTAATAAACAGAGGAAATGTTAGTTTAGCACCAGGAATGCCTGCATTGTTTATTCTGGACCCTATTTTGAAATTGGAATATTTTGAACTGTGTTAAACTGGCAAAATTACCAATTTCCGATCACTTTATTGGATAGTTGAAACAGTTGACTGGGCAATTTCTTGTGCTGAATCGATAAAATAGAAGTAATACTAGCGAAATAGCTAAGAATTTGGTCGACTGGAGTAATGTAATTGGTCTAAAATGGGAGTCAAAGTTGGCAAAATCGCCACTGCATAAATATCACTGAAGCAGCAAAATTCGCCAGAGCATAATCTTATCAATTTTCCATCAAATTTCGTACTTTTTGTTTCATTACCTTCAGAAAAAGATTCTCTACCATTTCATAAGAAAAAAATAACAAATTTTTTTTTTTTTTTTAATTTTTGGACCTGGCTGTCACTCTGAGATTTGGCCTCTGGACCCTGAAAGGGTTAATGTCCTCTGGAATGTTGACTAAAATTCAAGATTTCTGCTACTTTGAGCTCAATTTCAAGCTGCTTCCAATCCTCAAGGCAATCAAAATCAACTCTATTTCTGTAATATATCTTCCTTTCTATCAAATGTATCAAGAAACTGAAAATAAAACCATAAAAATCATCCAAAAATACACCACAAAGTCACTATTTTAAAGCATGCACACGATCACAGTTTTTTTTTTTTTTATCATGCACTGCATGGGGCAGGATTTTTTTGATATGGTGAAAACTCACCACATAGACCCTTTCTCTCAGATCTAGGTCAAAATGCACTGCTCATAGCTTATCTCACTGAGCTGAGCTTATCATGGATGTTGAGCTCAAAACCATTGTACTACGGCATGGAACCCAAAAGGGTTAATATCAGAAATGTTTGAGGTGAGTAAAAAATATTACCTCAGGATGGTTTTTATGGTAAACAGGTGAATCAGCCTACTGATACTACCCATAAATCATCTGATTCCACCAGTTAGTTAACCTTAGCCTACCAGTGCTAAGTGCCAATGAATATTTACAATTACAGTGGTACCCCGATTTTCGAACTGCTCCAAACTAAACCAATTATGTAAGGGTATTTTTGTAAGTGTAGGTAGTAGGTTGGTAGACAGCAACTGCCCAGGGAGGTACTACCGTCCTGCCAAGTGAGTGTAAAACGAAAGCCTGTAATTGTTTTACATGATGGTAGGATTGCTGGTGTCTTTTGTCTGTCTCATAAATATGCAAGATTACAGGTACGTCTTGCTACTTCTACTTACACTTAGGTCACACTACACATACGTGTACAAGCATACATATACACACCCCTCTGGGTTTTCTTCTATTTTCTTTCTAATTTTTGTTCTTGTTTATTTCCTCTTATCTCCATGGGGAAGTGGAACAGAATTCTTCCTCTGTAAGCCATGCGTGTCATAAGAGGCGACTAAAATGCCGGGAGCAAGGGGCTAGTAACTCCTTGTCCTGTATATATTACTAAATTTAAAAGGAGAAACTTTAATTTTTTTCTTTTGGGCCACCCCGCCTCGGTGGGATATGGCTGGTACGTTGAAAGAAGAAAGATTTTTGTAAGTGCTTTTGTAAGTGTATTTTTGGGGGTCTGAAACAGACTAATCTAATTTACATTATTCCTCATGGGAAAAAATTCGTTCAGTAACGGCATTCAAACAGTCTTCTGGAACGAAGAAAGTTTGAAACTTGGGGTACCATTGTATTTATAATTATTTTTGTTATTTATTGTTTTATACAAAATAATTTACACAATTCACTATTGGGTCATATACAGGAGTTTAGGTTACTATTTATTATCACACATTCTTTAGGCTTAGGCTGAGACCTATGAGCAACATAACCTTTGGTCTCAAAGATGTCTCTGATGCCATAAAATACAGTACTTCTGCAGATCCCTAATCAAAACTACACAATATCAAGAGCAAATGAAAACATTAAGAGAGAAAATATAATTTAATATAAAATAATTAAAATCAGTGTGTGACTGTTGCTTTAAGAGAATAAAATAACTTCTCATGAGATTTATGTAAAATTTCACTGACACTGCAAAATTTCACTTGAAAATTAATCTAATTTACTGATATTTTGACCGGGCACTAATAAAGAGGCTCAATGTGTGACCCTAACACTTTCCTTCTACAGCAGCTTCACACACTGTGTGACCCTAACACTTACCTTCTATAGTAGTGTCACACACTGTGTGACCCTAACACTTTTCTGTAGCAGCTTCACACAGTGTGACCCTAACACTTACCTTCTATAGCAGTGTCACACACTGTGTGACCCTAACACTTACCTTCTACAGCAGCTTCACACACTGTGTGACCCTAACATTTTTCTGTAGCAGCTTCACACACTGTGTGACCTTAACACTTACCTTCTGTAGCAGTCTCACACACTGTGTGAACCTAACACTTACCTTCTGTAGCAGCCTCACACACTGTGTAAACTTAACACTCACCTTCTGTGGCAGCTTCAAACCCATCCGGGTTCATGGAAGCCATGATGTGAATTCTTGTGTTGTTAACGAGATTAGTAACCCGTTGATCAGTGCCGTATCCCTCTAACAGGTACTGCATCAACAGCAATAAGGTTTCACGTCCAACTGCTTCATTTCCATGCATGTTACCAATGTATTTGAACTCCGGCTCCCCTGTGCAACAATAAGTACAAAATATTTGATACCGTAAACTTAGCTTTATTAATGAAATTATATAAAAAGACATCTTAAGGTAAAATAAATATACATACAAAAATCTTTCAAAATGCAAACTAAAGATAATTTTATCTGATAGTTTTATATCTTTGCTAAATAAATTATTTGCACATTTCCAGCATTGCCGAAAAATATAAAATTAAAGTTCTAGGTTCCTTTCTGTATGTAACACTGTAAACATTTCCATTCTTCTCATCTTGTTCCCCATGAAAGACTAGAGGACGAATAATAAGCAAATCATTAAAATAAAGACAACAAATTTTAGTCTGAAAGAAAATGTCAAGTACTGGGAGAAAAAAATTGCAAAGAGAGATAAGTGTCAGTAGTGGGATCCCACAAGGATCTGTACTTCAAAAATGTTTCTGATTTATAAAAATGACTTGTCAGAATTAATAAACTAAATGAACTTGCTTATGGATGACTAAAAACTACTAAAAAAGTAAAAAATAATTATAAATCCATACAAGACAACCTTGATTAATTAAGCAAATGATGTGATGGGTGATGGAATTTAATGAAGTATCATGTAATATAAATGGGGGAAAGAAAAACAGTCCATACTAAAGACTGTAGAATGCATGATCAAGAGCAATATTTAGATTGGTTTGCTTCTGAAACAAAATGAACACAAACAGGAAAAAATCAATTATTTAGACTGCACTCGGTAGTTTCTTTATTGTTGTGGGTTAACTTACATGGTGGGTACAGGAAGGCAGGGTAGGGCTCCCCCTAGGAAAGGCTGGAGGGAGGGGGTAAAGGCAGTTTTGTGTGCAGGGGGCTTGGACTTCCAGCAAGCATGCATGAGCGTATTACATAGGAGTGGAGATGAATGGTTTTTATGACTTGATGGGCTGGTGGAGCAAAAGCAAAGTAACATTTATGAAGAGATTCAAGGAAACTGGTTAGCTGGAGGTGGAAAATACAGTGCCTGCTCTCTGAAGAAGGGGTGTTGCAGTGATTTTTTAGTGCAGTGTAGGCATACCTCTGGCAAAACAGTGATGGAGTGAATGATGATGAAAAGTGTTTCTTCTTTTTTGAATTGCCCATCCTTGGTAGGTAATGGCCAATGTGTTAATAAAAAGAATAAAAAATATATAGGCCTATGTCAGAACTCTTTTCAGGGACAAAAAAAAAAAGAAAAAAAAAAAAAGCTTTGAATATTATTCATAAACATGGGAAAAAACCCATCTTAAAGTATCCCTTGCCCCCACATAAGTCCATTTCAGGAAAATTTACTTAAGCTTGAAAAAATAAAAAAGGGTTTACGGGTCAGATTAGTTAGGGGACTGGGGGTTGTAATATAAAAGGGGCTAAATTTAAAATTTGAACCTAAAGACCTCAAAGGAGAAAACAACACTGAGAATGACCAGGGCATACAAAATACTCAGGTGGGTTTTAAAAAAAAAATGTTTGAATGACGGGAACAAACAAAGGGGCCCATGGGAAGGAAAAAAAAAACCCAAAAAAAGAGTTAGGGGAGGGTTTTTGGAGGGCAATCCGATTTGGGTTTTAAAAAAATGGGGGAAAACTGCAAAAAACCATGTGGTAAAAAAAAATTTTTTAATACAGAAAAAAAATTAAAAATTAAAAGGGAATTTGAAAGTAAACACAGAAAAAGGAAAAAGGGGTGATGAGGGATTAAATGATTTAAAAATTTAAAAACGGATATCAGTTTGGGGAGGGAGGGAGTATGGAAAAAGTGAACAAATTCAGTTTATTTAAAGAAACCCTTGGGTGGAGGGGTTTAATAAAGGAAAAAGAAAAACCCAAAAAAAACTAATAAAGGGAAAAAAAAAGGGGGGGTGGTAAACTGAGGAAACTGTAAGACAAAGAAAGTTCCCCCAAAGGGGGCAAAGGGGGGAATGAAATTGGGGTATGTGGTCCCAAACACTTTTATAGGGTTTTTTTCCCAGGGGTTTAAAATTTTGCGAAGGAGGAGGCGGGAAAGGCAGTAAGATTTTTCAAAGGGGCAAAAATGTGAAAGAAAAATTATCGGGGGAATTCGTACCCTGGAAATTTTTAAATTTTGGGGAAAGGCTGAAAGAGTTTTGGGTTTTTTGGGTTTATTTTAGAAGGTTTGGAGTAAAATAAAAATTTTGGGAGGGAGAAAAAAACTGTAGTGGGGAAAGGAGGGGGTGGGAAGTCATTCTAGAAAAAAAATGGAGAAAGGGGTTTAAAAAAAAGGGTTTTGGGGGTGAAGGGGGATTGGACTTACAGCAAGCATGTGTGAGCATGTTAGGTGGGAAAGGGGTGGAGCCCAAAAGTTTTTTGAACTTGACACACTTTAAAGGTCTGAGCAGGGTAATTTTTTTTTGGGGAAGGGGTTTCAGGGAAACCGTTAGCCAGACTTAAATTTCCTGGAGAGGGGAAATTTTTGCTTTTTAAATGACATCAAAACTTTTGATCTGCATGCCTTTTTAAAAGACAGTGATATGTGAATGATGAGGATTTTTTTTTTTGTCACCCTGCCTTGGTGCAGACGGCCAGGGGGGTTAAAAAAAAGTAAAGGGGAAACAAAAACCCAAAACTGGTCAACTGAAAATTTAAAGAGGGTTCCAGGGACTAAAGAGTTAACCTCCCACACATCAACTCATTGTTTTACAGCAAACATTCAAAGATACCTTCAATTTGGGAAAGGAGAATATTTACAAAATTGGCCCCCTTAAAAAGAGATTTAAAATTAAAAAATATTCTAACCAGGTTTGGGGAATTCCAGGATGATCCCGATATCCCAAGACAAAAAAAAATTCCCGGGCCTCGAACACTTGATCCTACAGAAAAAAGCTGGGGGAAGGGTTTTGGGTAATTTTTTTGCAATTTTCCAAAGGGTGCCAAGCTTTTGGGGTAATATGGGGACCTGGGAAGAAATGCAGTATAAAAAATTAAATTAAAAGTTATCAGGCAAACTGGGAAACCCAAAAAAAAAAAAATTAGGGAAAAAGCAATGTCTATTAAATACTAGTAAAAAGTGACTAAAGGCCGAGCTGTTAAATTTTTTAACAATTTTTTTTTCCCGTTTTCAGTGCAAGAATGGTTTTGGGAAGAGTGGAAACAAGTGGTTTTTTTGGGGCCTGATGACTTTTTGGAAATTCAGCAAGGTGGATTCAGGGGAAAATGGTTTGCCAACTTTAGTTCTGGGGGTGGGAAGTTCTGGCCTGCACCCAAAGGGGTTGGGGTTTTGGGTATCTGCTGTTTGGAAGGACATCAAAAAAGTCGTATCTGCATGCCCCTTACAAACAATGATTTGTTAAAGATGAAAGAAAGTGTTTCTTTTTCGGTCACCCTAAACCTTTGGGGGGAGACAGCCCCGCAAAGGGGGAAAAAAAAAAATAATTTTTTTTTTTAACAAGTTTGGGAGTCTCCCACCAAGGCAGGGGGACCCAAAAAGAAAATCCCCAAAAAAAAAAATAAATTCCCTTCCTTTAACCCCTTTCAACCCCCACTCATAACAAAATCACTGTTTTTTCAGAGGGGCCCAGAAAACCCTTTTTTAAGCATATACCCATAAAGAAAGTTTTTAACATAATTCTCCGAAATGGCCAAAAATCCCCCAAAAACCCCCCCTTAAAGTGCAGGCATTGGCTTCCCCCTTTTTTCCCTTAAAATACTCAAGTCCAGTTTTATAAAAATAACCAGTCCCCCTGAATCCCCTTCAAATAAAAATTAACCCCCCGTTCACACTCCCAAAAACTCGTCAAAGGGCCCAAATAAACCCTTCGTCTTTCCTTTTTCCCTATCTAACCCTGCTCAAACATTCTTTCGGAAAATCCAAGCCCCTCGCCCCAAAAAACCCCCTTTAAAAACCCCCTTCCCCCCAACCCCTTTTTCCCAGCGCGGGCCTCTACCCTCCCGCCTTCCTTTCCCCAAAAGATTTAAAAACCTCCCCAAGGCAATTTTATTTTGATCCATTCTCTCTAAAAGATTTAAACCCCCCTCAACCAACCCCTTTTTAAACCCTCTGAAATAATAATTTTTAACTCCACACCTTCTCCTAATTTCCACACTCCGAATTTTCTGCATAATATTTACACCACACATTGCCCTAAGACAGGACATCTCCACTGCCTCCTCACTGCAGCATTCACAACCCAAGCTTCACACTCATATAAGTGTTGGTACCACTATACTTTCATACATTCCCTTCTTTGCCCCCATAGATAACATTATTTTGTCTCCACAGTTACCTCAATGCACCACTAACCTTTTTTCTTTCATCAATTCTATGGTTAACCTTTTTTTTTTTTTTTTTAAACAAGTTGGCCGTCTCCCACCGAGGCAGGGTGACCCAAAAAGAAAATCCAAAACAACAAAATACTTCCATCATTCAACACTTTCACCTCACTCACACATAATCACTGTTTTTGCAGAGGTGCTCAGAACACAACAGCTTAGAAGCATATACCTATAAAGATACACAACATATCCCTCCAAACTGCCAATATCCCAAACCCCTCCTTTAGAGTGCAGGCATTGTACTTCCCATTTCCAGGACTCAAGTCTGGGTATATAAAAATAACCGGTTTCCCTAAAATCCCTTCACTAAATTTTACCCTGTTCGCACCCCAAAACAGTTTCGTCAGGCCCCAAAAATACCATTTGTCTCCATTCCCCTCCTATCTAACATGCTCACGCACGCTTGCTGGAATTCCAGGCCCCTCGCCCAAAAAACCTCCTTTACCCCCTCCCTCCAACCTTTTCGAGGATGACCCCTACCCCGCCTTCCTTCCCCTACAGATTTTATTACGCTCTCCATGTCATTCTACTTTGATCCATTCTCTCTAAATGACCAAAACCCACCTCAACAACCCCTCCTCAGCCCTCTGACTAATACTTTTATTAATTCCACACCTTCTCCTAATTTTCTGCATAATATTTACACCACACATTGCCCTTAGACAGGACATCTCCACTGCCTCCAACCGCCTCCTCGTTGCTGCATTCACAACCCAAGCTTCACATCCATATAAGAGTGTTGGTACTACTATTTCTTTCATACAAATTTCCCTTCTTTGCCTCCATAGATAACGTTTTTTTGTCTCCAAATATACCTCAACGC